TCCAACAAAACCAACAAGTGTTAAAAGGGTGTCATCTTTTGTGCCGTACAAAAACAAATGTCAAAGGGTGCTAACGGAGTATACGTTCGCGTTGATCGTCCTATGCTCAAGTAAGATATTGAAAACACAAACTCCTACTACTACAATGACAATTATATAAGAATTGAAGAGAGCGATTAGAAAATTAATCTTAATTGAGTCCCCTGAAACTAACGTACTTGAGTTCTTATGAACTCTAAAAGTTGGTTTTCTCTTTTACTAGAACTCATATTAGTAATCAAAGAATTGGGTATGATTCTATTAACGAAACCACCTTATTATGACAGGACTTATAATTGGAAACAACCTCTTTTCAAAAGAGGAAACTCACTGGCTTCCTCAACCTTCTACAGGTGGCCAAAGGGATTTTTTGAGTAAACCCCCACACGTTTGACAACGGCAAGTGTTGTACTGGCCTACGGTCTCCTGACTTAGACCATTCAAGCATTTAACGTTATTAATTTTTTTAAAATATAAAAATTTTAAAAAAAAATCTGTAATGGACGTCGTCCATAGGAATGGACGGGCGTCCCTACTCTTATGGACGCCCGTCCATAAGGAATGGACGATCGTCCATTAAGTATGGAAAAAACAAAATTTTTAAAAAAATCTAGAATGAACGCCCGTCCATAAGGAAGGAGGGCGTCCCTACTCTAATGGACGCCCATCCATAAGGAATGGACGACTGTCCATTAAGTATGGACGACTGTCCATATTTATGGACGGTACAATTTTTTGGTGCAATTTTTTCGTAGATATAGCATTTTAAAAATTCTGGTATCTTATAAAAACTACCCGAAACCGACTTGAATTTTCGAGTACCCGAAAATCTGGGTTCAGTTCGGTTCGGTTACCAGTTTTTTTTTGCACAGCCCTATCGAAAACAGCCCAGATCTGGTGAAAATCGAGACGGTGCACAATCACTGAGGGTGTAATTGAAGTAATTTCAAAACAAGATGGTTAATTTTATAATTTTAGTAATTTAGGGGCTAAAATATAATTTATTAATTTAGGGTTAAGGGCATTATGGTAATTGCACCCTCACTACCCCAAAAAATGTTAACAGTGTTATTTTAGGGGTGAAAATATGGAATAAATGGAACTTGGCATACCAACTTGGGATTTCGTCAAACATTGGGTGGGAACATGTCGTTTACTCTTAAATCCCCCGGACATCCTCTTTATATTTTAAAATTTTCTCAAATTTATTAACCTTTTAAAGTTCAAACATTCCTTTTGATAAATCTCGTCAACAATGCCAATAAGTCTGAACCTTTGATATGTTTGAGCTACGTTTTTGTTGATTTTCTTAGGTATAAAGATTGATGGACAATTTTTCTTTCACAAACGTAATTAGTCAGCTTGTAATTAATCAAGCAAGACTCATTACGTGTTGACTAATTACGAACTGTCACATTGTATTTGTAAGAAAAAATTAGTGAAAAGCGTTTGTCAGTGAAGTATTACCCTTCTCTTAACCAATAATCATCGGAAGAAAAATATTTTTATGTATTATGCTACAATATAACCAAACCAATGAAAAAACAAGTGGTTTCTCTCACTTTAATCCAACATACTGTTATTAACTAATTGTAGTATTTACAACAAGATATATGGAATATTTTCCCCTTCACAAACCTCGTTGTATTTTTCTAGTATTTACTATTTACTAGACTTGGCAAAACGGGCGGACGGGTGCGGGTCTCACGAGTACGGGCCCAAAACGGGTTGATTTAAATGAGCCCAATATTTTAGACTCACACCCTACCCTATACAGGTACGGGTGGACCTGCGGCTGCCTGTACTGTTCACTCTAGTTTTAGATTTTTGTAGTTACACCCCTAAATCTTCCTAAAATCTTGATTCTTGAGCAAAATCTGTCTTTTTGAAGTCCAAACAAAAATACTCTTATACCCAATACAGTTTTAGTTCAGAAAAAACATATGCAAATTTCTATAATCATTCAAATTATCATCAAAACGAATAAGGAGAATCAGATTAAACCAAATAAAAATCTCTAATCCCCAATTTTAGATCTAAATTAAATCTTTTAACGTAAAAGAAAATAACTGAAATTCTAAATAATTAATTTTGATGAACTTGGCTAACATAAGATTTAGATAAATCAATATGATCTCTTTTCTTTTTCCCCACAATTTAGAATCCTTTTCCCTAGTTTTCTAAGCTGCCAATCACGAACCAAAACCATACACACAAACACTATTTTCTCCCAAGTTTTCTCACCAACCAAACGAAAACCTAGAACCTAATAAAGAAAATGATAAAAAACTTGTATCAAGGTATAAGTATATTGATTTTCGACAAACTAGTATCAAGCTAAGCTCGAAGATAAATTGACTTAACTGGTATCAAAGCAAATGTCAAATTACACACAAAAGCCTCAAGATATGGTAAGAATTTACATATCTAAAGTCATTAGGAAAACTGGCCTCCACACCTTTGGTGGTTTAGGATTTCATCCAGACCACACTTTCCTTACCCTATACTCCATTGATTCATACAATATTTTTTCTAAGGAATTACTTTACATGCTCTGGTACTCTTATGCGGGTATGATATTGGTATTTCCTTCCCTGTTGAATAGACCTTAAATTACCTCTCTAACCTTCAACAACTTTGGACAGACGAAAAAGATGGTACTCTTCAATGGTTTCATTCCTATCATGGTGGTTTTCTTCCTTCAAGATTTACTCCAACCTTCAATGTTGCTAGATTGTAGCTGAGGAGAAGCTGAAGACGCTGAAGAATTGACTCCAAGAATTGGAGCTGCTGAAAAGTGAAGAGCAAAGACGAAGGAGATGAGATCAAATCGGCGAAGGTGATACACATACCTTGATGCACCGCCAATGGAGACTACAAACATGGCTGATGAGAAGCTGTGAGTCGGTGACGGTGGAGTTAGGGATTTCGATGATGATGAGTTTGACAGAAGATTGATGAGAGAGTGAGTTAGAGCTAGGTTAGGGATTTTGCGATTTGGGGCAAAATGAAAAGGGGAAAGGGTTTTTTTTTTTTTCAAACACAAATGGGTACCTGCTTGACCCGTTGGCAAAACGGGTCGGGTCAGGTACAGGTCGAAGAAAACGGGTCCAATATTAAAGACCCACACCCTATATTTTTTACCCGGGTTTAGGGTCGACCCACAAGTCCAAACCCGTTTTGCCAGGTCTACTATTTACTATTTACTTTCTCAACAATGCTACAGACACCGGGGTTTTTACACTGAAATTTTGTACTGGCCTACGTGTCTCCTGACTTAGACCATTCAAGCATTTAACGTTATTAATTTTTTTTTAAAATATAAAAATTTTAAAAAAAAATCTGTAATGGACGCTCGTCCATAAGGAATGGACGGGCGTCCCTACTCTTATGGACGCCCGTCCATAAGGAATGGACGATCGTCCATTAAGTATGGAAAAAAACAAAATTTTTAAAAAAATCTAGAATGAACGCCCGTCCATAAGGAATGGACGGGCGTCCCTACTCTAATGGACGCCCATCCATAAGGAATGGACGACTGTCCATTAAGTATGGACGACTGTCCATATTTAATGGACGGTACAATTTTTTGGTGCAATTTTTTCGGTAGATATAGCATTTTTCTTACTTTCCTGTTCCAACAAAACCAACAAGTGTTAAAAAGGGTGTCATCTTTTGTGCCCTACAAAACCAAGTGTCAAATGGTGCCAACGGAGTATACATTCGCGTTGATCATCCTCTGCTCAAGTAAGATATTGAAAACACAAACTACTACTACTACAATGACAATTATATAAGAATTGAAGAGAGCGATTAGAAAATTAATCTTAATTGAGTGCCTTGAAACTAACGTACTTGAGTTCTTATGAACTCTAAAAGTTGGTTTTCTCTTTTACTAGAACTCATATTAGTAATCAAAGAATTGGGTATGATTCTATTAACGAAACCACCTTATTATGACAGGACTCATAATTGGAAACAACCTCTTTTCAAAAGAGGAAACTCACTGGCTTCCTCAACCTTCTACAGGGGGCCAAAGGGATTTTTTCAGTAAACCCCCACACGTTTGACAACGGCAACAACAATGGTTGTAGAATGAAGGTTATGTGTTTGGGTTGAACAGGGGTCCAAGTGTAAGTTTTCTGATTATTGGAGGCTGGGGTTTGGGTTGAAAAGGGTTAAAATGGTCGTTTTTGTTGATAAATGGATGTTCAATAACACACTTGAATGCAATGGGGGCTAGCATCCTATTTTCGGCACTAGTGGGTTCTTTATGAAATTCATGAAACATATGGGGGTTTACTAAAAATTCCCGGTAACAGAACAGAAACTCTGTAATCTTTTGTTAAGATCATGTAAACAAAATTGAGCGTTAGGATTCTCATATAAACACCACGGGCATTACGATTTATTTCCTTTTCTTAGTATCTACGTGTGTGGCTGTTCCACATTCACATTCAATCAAAGTCTCTTGTGACAGCTTCAGTTAATATCAAATCCCGGATATCCTGGTTCTTTTTAAAAATAAAATCTTTATTTCCTTTTTTTTTTTCATTGGTAAAACAGGGATCACCTCAACTCCTCCCTCGTGGAAGAAGTGAGCTACTAAAATATGATAAACCCAAGCAGTTATTTTTTAATCTTCTTCTCCATTCTGAAGTAAAGTAAAAATCAAAGTTGCACGACTCATAACTGTGGCACCGGTACTATCCAGTTTGGCATTATCCTCTTGACTCCACGTCTCTTTAGTTTTATTTTGTTTTTCAATCCAACTAACAAACTCAACCCCTACAAATTATTATATTTATGAAAGAATTATTTCAACCAGAACAGTCCCGATCAGATTTAATTCTTCAAAATTTCAGTCCCACTTCTCACCGACACATTCAGTGCTATATTATTATTGCTGTAATGGATGACAGTACTTAATCTTCACATTCTCTATTTCTAATTCTCTTCCTCCTCAAAACTCATTCTTCATCTCTTATAACAACAATTTCATTTCATTTTTATCAAATTCAATTTCTCATTTCTCTTTGATCAACCCTTTTCCCCCCTCATCTCTCAACACCAACTTCAACCTCTCAATGGCATGGGGGCCTAAAAAATGGCATCTAGTGGTGTTGGTTTTGAACTTGTCGACTATTTGGGTTGTTCATGGAGTTCAAAAGGTTCCTTGTTACTTCATTTTTGGAGATTCGTTATACGACAATGGAAATAATAACAATCTTCCAACCAAGGGTAGAGCCAACTACCCGCCATATGGTGTTGACTTTCCTCGAGGGCCAACAGGAAGATTTACCAATGGCCGAAACCTCGCTGATATTTTAGGTTCAATTCTTCTTTCTTCTGTATATTTAACGGGAATAATTAAATAAACCCTCTAAAGTTTTAGAAATAAGAAAATTCCCCTTATAAAATAAAAACATCATTAATTTTACTTAGCTTGTAGAGTTGCAGGGATAGTTTTTGTTTTTTTCCTCAAATTATTATCCAACAACTAACTTACTGTCATATTTATTGTTGTTGTAGCTCAACTTCTAGGATTTGAAAATTTTATACCAGCTCATGCAACTAGTAAAGGTGATCAAGACATTCTCAAAGGTTTAAATTATGCATCTGGAGGAGCTGGAATTCGTGAAGAAACTGCAACAAAAACCCTGGTAAGTATTGGTTTCATATATAATTTGGTAAAAAGATCTAGGTAAAATCCTTTGTAGAATATAAGAATATATTATGAAATCTTTCAGAAATATTTTCTTCTGAATTCTTTTTTGAATCATCTAATTGTATCAAATTCTATAAATATTTATAATCTGTGGAAATGTACAATAACTTTCCAGAGTTTTAAATGGCAGATTGAGAGTGTTTTGATTCAAAGAAAGTAAGAGAAATGAGAGTATTCAAAGAAAATTGTCTAAACTTGTATGAAAATGAATAATGAGTGCATATGGTGCACAGCATGTCTCCGACATGGGAGGTAAAAATTTTTGACAACACTATACTTACAATCTAATCTCACAAACTTTGTAAGAGCTCGCAATTATTCTCGTTATGGTCTTGTCTATCCAATTGTGAGCTAACAAATTACAAACTATCATATCAAAACTATGAAAAAATTTGTAAGATTGAGTTGTGAGTCCTTCATTATTAAAAAATTTTAGAGTTAGTTACAAAATATCGAAGTCCACAAACCCATCTTGGTGCCATTCCTTTTGCCAAGTTAGTTTTTCTTTCTTGAAACTCTATTACATGGGCTTTGGCTTATTGGGCTTTACTTGAGCTAATTCATCAATTTCAACACTTATCAAAGTTACTTGTTTAATGGGTCAGACCCAATTTGCATGCCAAATTTCTTCTCCTACAACCCATTTTGTAATTTCATTTAGCTTAGCCCCCCAGCTTTTTTATCATTCGCTCCCATTTTTTATTTTAACATTAAATAAAATTACTATAAAAGACATTATAGATTCTAAATTATACTCCTACTTTGTTTTTTTATATTTTCCTTTTATTTATTCTTTTCTCATAACATTTAAAATTCAAAGTTATCTTTTTAAATTGCTTAAAAAACATAAAAAAAAAAAAAATAATCATTTTTCTCTTCTCAATGGTATTTTAATTTTTTCTGTTAATCCAAATATGATTTTTCATATCATCATCTTTCTGTTTTGTTTACAATGATCAACTCGAAGCATGTATGTTCTTCTTAAACTTAAGTTATAAACTAATCCATTTTTTTTAGGAGGCAGAACTTCTGATTTTACAAACTATACACCAGTTGAATTTTTTGGAGTGGTTGAAGTTCTTTTAATAATATATAACTTTATACTTACTACAGTAGTTGTTGGTTGATGGAAGAAGTATATAAAATGCAGAAAATTTATTTAGTAATATATATATATATATATATATTAGACAAAATAAAATAGAAGATGATTTAAATATTAAAAAAAAAAAAAAAGAACTTAGAAAATTGGATAAAGAAAATACTTATTTAAGTCTAAAAGGGTAATTTTGTTATTAAGTGGGGTTTTAAAGAGATTTTAAAAAGATAAACAAGGTTTATTAATAATGGGGGCTACTGATAAATTATATGCAGGTTAAAAATCACTTCCCTATTTTTTATAATTCAAATCTAACCTTATATTAAGATTACCAAATTTATATTAAATATAACTTTCACTATTAATACTTTTTACACCTCATATACATATAAAAACCCTAATTTATCATATTCTTATCATACTTTAAAGATTTAATTTAAGGTTCTTTCCACTTCTTCTGAAATTCTTAACATATGAAGTGGTCATAGAATTTGGTTAGATCACTTTAACTAATTTAGTGATAAAAAATTTACTTTAGTTCTTTTGCCTTTTTTTCACTTAGAAGAGATTGTTAAAGATCAAGACCAAGTCCAAGTTGTTTCTGTTTGAGAACAAGTCCAAGAGCTATCCACTTCTGTTGCTGCCAATCTTGAACCCTTCCTTCAGCCTCATTTGAGCTGAGTGATTGATCAGTGGTAGACTGCCAAACTACCTGTATTTGTAGGTAAGTGAACGATTTGGGCTTGACTGTGAGGGATTGAAGATCTCATATCGATTAGACACGTTCAAGCTAATGAGTTTATAAGAGTAGACAATCCTCCCACTTAATAAGATCTTTTGGGTAAGGAATTAGGCTCCAAAACCAAAGTGATAAAACCAAATCAAAACAGAAATACTACAAAATCAGGTGGCAAGTATTTCTCCAGGTGGTTTGGTGAGATTTGTTGCTACAGACATTATTTGTTAAGAAAATTTAAAATCTCTTGAAGAAGTAGGGTTATGACTTCATGGATTCTATTTATAAGATTGCTTTCATTTTTAGTTTTCATTTCTTTTAATTTGACAGGGAGCGGCAATCAGCATGAACAAGCAATTAGAAAATCATCAAAATATAGTCTCGCGCACTGAGAGCATACTAGGAGATAAGGAATCGGCTTCAAAGCACCTAAGCAAGTGCATTTACACAGTTGGAATCGGCAGCAACGATTACATTAACAACTACTTATTGCCTGAGTTTTATGATACAAGTCGCCAATACACACCAGAGCAATATGCTATTGCTCTTACTCAACAATATTCTCAACAGTTAAAGACTTTGTACAATTATGGGGCAAGAAAAATAGCCCTATTCGGATTAGGCCCTCTCGGATGTTCACCGGGCAGTGTCGCGATGTATGGCACAAATGGATCTTTATGCGTAGACTACATAACCACAGACATTCAACTGTTCAATTCCAGGCTTAAATCGCTAGTCGATGATCTAAATAACGATCTCAAAGACGCAAAGTTTATCTACATTGATGCTTATGGGATATTGGGATCTCTACTGGCTGGTATAGATGGATTCTTAGTGAACAATACTCCATGCTGTGAAGTTGCCAATTTGAAGATGCATAATGGTGTTTTAACGTGTATTCCTTCTTTAAAGCCGTGTGTTACAAGATCTTTGCGCGTATTTTGGGATGGAACACATCCATCTGAGGCTGCAAATTTATATTCAGCTGCAAGATCATTCACTGCTCTACTTACTTCCGATGCTCACCCATTTGATATTCGCACACTAGCTGAGCTTTAGTGGATTAAGTTTTGACCCTAGAGTGAATATTGTTATTATATTTTTGTCACATAGATGTCAATAATTCTCTCTCTTTTTCAAAATTTCTCCTTCTCTGCTTAATTTAACACAAAATTGTTCTTGTGTCCATGAGTGGCTGGCATAAAAGGGTTCAGCCAAATAAATATTATCTAACACAAATGTCCTTTCACCTCTAGAAATTTGCTTTTAAACTTCATGCATATATTTTTCTACATGTAAAGGAAAGGAAAATCCATCCCTTACAAAAGTCATATAGAAAAGAGTGAATTGATTTTATAAATTATAACTTAATAGAATTAATGAAGTATTAAATCTGGCAATAATAAATTTACTTATCCTATCTTTATAGGATAAAACCTAGGGACTAATCAATTTACAAAAATTATTTTTCTTACAAACAATAACAATGAGTCTTTCAACAACTAGATAGGAAAGAAGAGGGATAAGCCAATACTAACTCTACTGAAGCATTTGAGAGTTATATTCATGAAAGGCATGAGAGGGCTAAAGGGTGGAAAACAAAAATCACACCAACAGCCAGCAAGAAGTTAAGTGAAGCTGCGAAGCAGGGCACACACCTTAAACTTTCATGTGTACGAAAAATGCAGTTTGAAGTTAGGATGCCTCTAAGAGGTATATAGTTAATCTGCCTCAGTGACATTGCCCGTGGAAACTGGTAGATCAATGATATCCCTTGTAAGCATGTAGTGCATTGCATCAAGGATTACAGAGCAAATCCAGTTAATTAATTATACACATGATTCTTATACTGTTGATGCTTATCGTAGGACTTACAATGAGAAGATGAATCCCTCACCAGATGAGAGTAAGTGGCCAGTTAGGGGACCTCTGATTCCACCATTTAAGAGAATTAGGTCTAGTCGGCCCAAAAAATAAATAAAAGAACCTAGCGAACTGGCAAAACAGTCCAGAAACTCCACTACTAGATGTAGTGTTTTCAAATATGCTAGGACACAACAAGAGAAAGTCATTATATCTAGGCGAATTGTATTTTTTTTTCTGAAGTTACGTTTGACACTTAGTGGTGCCTCAATCTTAGGGAATTTCTCGGATTATCCAATTAAATGAAAGCTCTAAATATCTCTGGAGCGTTAATTGTGGTATGTATATATATAACTAATTATAATTTCATTTTACTCTTTTTACATTCGTTCTCAACCACTTATTGTTTTATTTTGCTTTGTTTTTTGGTTTTTCAGAGTTCTTTTAAATTAGAAGATTTAGGAAAAGTTGTCAATCACCATCATCCCCTTGTAATGTTGGCAGTCTTCAATTATATACAAGAGTGCCCTCATTAGAGTACTGATTTTGTTGGATGGTCTTCTCTGGATTTGTTATCCTAAGACCTTGTCTTTGCAAACATTTCCTTGTATGTATGATCGGAACGAATGTAAAAAAGAGCCAATAGCATCACTTTATTTTAAAAAAAGAATAGTAATAGAGGATACTTGTATATTTTGATGGGATTAAAAATCACTTTTCTTTAAAAAATTATTAAATGTTGTTATTTAAGCCCCACTCAAACTCTTTTTAAACCTCAGAAATAAAAATTTTTATAATTTAAATCATACTATAGAATAAGATAAACAAAATAGACGTTAACAACTTTAAAGTGATATATTGATCATTTATAGAAACTGAAAATGTCAAAAAAAAAAAAAAAAAAAATCAACCGAAAAAAAAGATAATTAGGGAAATTCTTAGATTTTAAAGACCTACAGATCTCATGACAACAAAAAATCTACAACATCATCTCAACGAAATTAGAGAGAGAGAGAGATTTTATAGAGATGGCAATCGGCCCGACGTTTTCGGGTACCCAGCTGGTCCGGCCGAAAGGGGCGGGCTTTACCCGAGGTTAGCGGGCTTGGGCTTGGGCCTGGGCTTGATTTTAAGGCCGATCTCGGATACGGGCCAGACATGGGTATATCTTTAGGCCCGGCCCATCCCCAAAAATTTTAATATTAATTTTACTAATTTACCTTTATACATATATTTAATTACAAACCCATCTAATCTTTAAAGGCAATTTTAACATGTTAAACCTTCAATATGGGATGAAAATTGAGGTAGGGTTTTATATATATGTATATCCATTTTTCCAAACCCTAGCCTCAATTTTCTCCATATTGAAGGTTTAACATTTTAAAATTGCCTTTAAATGAGTTAGATGGGTTTGGTTCAACTTTAAAGTGGATTTCCCATAACATATTATGCACCGCTGAAAAGTTATTAAATAAATATTAGGATTTTAATTGCTCACTTATTGCTTAAATTATTTGCGAAAATAGCTTCAATTAATATTTAAAAACTATTTCTAAAATTAAAAATATAAAAAAATTTAAAATTTATTAATATTTAAAAATAAAACTTATTAAAAAATGCAGGCTTGGGCCGGGCATGCGGTTATAAAAAACCCGTTGGGCCGGGCTTGGGCTTTGCCTATCATACCTATAACGGGCTCGGGCGGGCTTAGGCCTGGGCCAAGGGGTACTCAGTCCCGGCCCGCCCATTGCCGTCACTAAGATTTTGGAGGCACTCTGAACAACTAATCTAATACTAATTTGATCGCAAAGTGGGAATCAAGAAACTAACTCCTGTATAATTGAATCCTATTTCTCCATTATTTATCAAAAAAACATGAATTTATTTTCATTATTCATATATATTTTAAAATTAATAACTTCTTTATGATAAAGAATTTGAATCTCTCTATTGTATTTAGATCATGGCCGATTTAGATGAAATTGAAACAAGTTTGGGATAGTTAAAATTTTAAGGGAGAGAAGGAGAGAGAAGAAAAACGCTGAGGAATAAATATAAAATTAAGTGATGCTATTGGCGCTTACATTTTTGTTTCAAGACCGGCCCCACTTCTAAGTTTACCCAAAAAATGTTTTAGCATAATTAGGAATGTTGGATTACTGGAAAGATAGATTACCTTGGAAGATTTTGGGTATTTAGAAAAATATGTTTGGTTAGTTGGTGGATATGTTATATTATACGTTTGGTTATGGGGAACAAATAGGTGGGTATGTTATTTAATTATAAATGTTCCCTTTTCAAATATAATATAATATTTTTTATTATTTTTTAAAAAATTTCTTTTAACCCCAATATTTCAGATTTAGTTAAAACAATCACGCTATATAAAACTTTAATTATTACGAAATCACCCCACCACTGCCGCCACGGCAGACCATCGTCAAAGTCTCCGAAAGTCCCCATCAGCAACTGACCGGACCAAGAGGCTTGATATGGTCGTTTTCAGCCATATTGATGGCCGAAAACACCATATCAGGCCATATCGAAGCCTCCAGAGTTCCCACCGAGTCTCGTTCTTTTTAGGGACTCCGGTGATTTTCCGATGGGGGCCCAGGTGGGTGGCCGTTGTCGGCGGTGGTGGCTGGGTGGCAGTGGTGGGTGTAATAAATCCTTTATACTAGGATACTCATAGAAATAAATAAAGTAAAATACATTTATACACAAAAATAGATGGGCCCAAAATTTTCTTTAGTACATATAAAAATTCTTATTACCAAATAATATATCATTTTACAAAAAGTTATCAAAACAGTGGACAGTGTTGCTATTGCTCCTCATTTGCCGATGCCAATCCGACCGCGTCCTCACTAGATTTGTAACACAAAGAAAAACAACGGGGTGAGCACAAAAATAATGCTCAGTAAGTAAATCCTTTACTCGTCTGTCCCCGTAACTCTTTTCTTAATTCTTTCCTTACACACTTCTCGTCTCATTATTTCTCTTCTTGTTTCTCTTTCACACAGCTCTCTTTTATTAATTTTCATTGTAAGTCACGGCCTCATTTACCCGAGGCGACCAGGGGAGTCACAAACCCAATCCGCTCTTTGTGACTTACTCATAATCTCTTTATTCTTTCTCACTTGAAGTCACGGCCTTATTACCGGGGCACGACCAGGTGGAGTTCACAAAGACCAGCCCGCTCTTTGTGTTTTTCTCATTCTCTCTACTCTTAGAGTAGTCATTCACAAAGTTTCTACTCTTTCTCAAGATACTTCTCAATGCACCAATTTAGGTATAAGGATGGTTTATGCTTAAAATTTCTTACTTAAGGCACTTATGAAATGCACAAATGCAATGTTGCATCAAGATAGTCATTTGCATAGGTCACACTCAAAAGGGCTAAACTTGAGTTGTACACATCGAATTGTACGGCTTTGGTCTCATTTTAAAGCTTAAGACAGGGCTACAACTTTTATGTTTGGTCTTAACCCAGTTCAATCTATAAGATGCCAAAAAAACTCAGAAGGTCACGGCCGGATAGTACAGTTTTCACTTGGCTTTTCACTTAGGCATTTCATCAAACAATATGTGTGCATACATAAACTCTATTTTAACTATAATTCTACTTCTTTTTAACCATCCAAAATTGGAGTTCAACTCCTTTAAATCATAACAACTGCAAGAAAACACACTTCAAATATTCCTCTCAAATTCTTCTAAAGTATCCATACTTCTATCAAATTTATCAAACACATCCACTTCTCATGGTGGAAATCTCTCTATAAAATCAACATTGAACTCACTAAATCCATAACTCATCATCAAACCATCACATACACTTTTATATTCAAATATATTAACAACAAGCATAATTCATCACAATCTTATCTCAATTTCTCAATAACCATAACATATGCAACTTAAAAGAAATCCTACTCACTTGAATTCTAAATTAATGAGTAGATTTTGAGTGGAATTTACTTACCTTATGCTTGAGTCTTCTCTACTAAGCTCTATACTCTTGTGGATTAAACTTCTTCTAACCCTAAACATAAACTTCATAAGAACCCAACTTACACAAATAAATCATAGATAAAGAGTATGAATTCTTACCTTTTGAAGTCTTGAATCAAAACCCTTAAAATCACTCAAAGCCTCAAAATCGCGGCGGATTGAATGAAAAATTGAGAGAAAAGGGGGAGTAG